GCTTGACTTCTGAAGCCTGGAATACCATTTACCCCTTTACACCTGATCTAGATTTACTAACTGTTAACATGTTGTGTTATTTTATCTCTCTCTCTTTCTTGCTGAATGTTTGTGCTAGTTTTGACACTTCATCCCTAAATACTTAGGTGTTTCTTGAACTAAAACCAGGAGAGTAACAACAGGTTTAGCGTGGAGAAAGCTAAAAGAGGGACTCAGCACACAGTACTTGGCACATGGACAATTTAATAAGTAATGCAATAAAAATTCCTGCAGAGGAAGCTGCCAAAACAGGCACTTTGAGATCCTGAGCTTTGGTGCTTTCCTGAAACTGGTTCTCAGAGCACCAAAGCTAGTTTTTCCTCAGAAAAGGCTTCTTACCCAGGGAGCAGAAAAAGCCTCAGGGAAACCTCATTTTTTCCATAGCTTGTGGCTTGGCTGACTCAACTTCTGTCTGTCCCTGAGTCACGAGTTTTTCCTCTCTGATTTGGAGGAGCTGGCCCTCCACCCAAGCCTCCCTACCCCTGGCTGATTCCCTGTTGGGAAGTGGGCGGACAGCTGAAGGACCCTTTACACTGCCTTCTGGACCTTTCCCAAAGCTCCACTCAGATCCTCAGAACATTGGAGCCAGAAGAGACATCAGATGAAGAGACAGAGGCCCAAGTGGGTCCTGGAGTCTCCTGAGATATGAGGCTAGGAGGGGTCTCCTGACCCCAGGACCAACAATTGTCTCTCCACCTCCTGATTTTCCAGAATCATAAAAAGGGCTCCCCTTTTAGAACCCTTGCTCTCTGTCAGGCAGTGTTAGCAGGACACCATCATAAATAACACAGCTGACTGAACATCTGCCTTCTACAAAGACAGGACACTGGCTCCTTTCTAAAGTTCAGAGCCACCTCTGTTTTCCCCCAAAAGCCCCTCTTGCTGAGGAGGTGCAGGATCTGGGTGCTGAGGAAGGCATAGATTTCAGACCCCATCTCTTTCTCCCTTGTATAGAAGAGAGCCCTGACTATACCAGCAAGACTCAGAAATTCAAATGCTTACCCCTAACCAGGAGGACAACAGCAGGTACCACAGGCCAAAGGTGAAGCCACTGAGGGAGGAGGGGACCAGGTAGACGGAAAACCATAAGACCATTCTGAAGGGGACAGCTGCAGCAAAGATGAGAAGCAGCCATTCTTGAATCCTCTGGTTTAAGAGAAGCTGGAAGTCCTGTTTGTCGTGTGAACTCTGCCAATGTGAAATATTCGCAGCAATGATTTTTGGTTTTTCAAGGCAAAAATGAAGGTTATTGGAGGTAAGTCCAGCTCTGAGCCTACCTACTAGTGTGTGGCTTTTGTTAGGTGCTCAATAGACACTACACAATACATGTCATGGGGCCGTGAGGCCGTGGGGAGAGAGAAGCTACCAAGTTAAACAAGTGACTAAAGAGGTGACTTCAAGCTGGTGGGTTGTTTTTTTTTTTTTTTTTTTTTTTTTTTTTTTTTTTTTTTTTTTAACAAAAACCAAACCGATGAAGTAGTTGAGGGCGAAGGGGTGAGCAGGGAGCTGCTTTGGGGGGCAGAGAGGAGGTGACAGTTTGCAGGAGGTGTAGGACAGCAAAGAGGTAGCTGGGGTTCTTGCAGCTGGAAGACGACAGTGGGGGGGGGGTTGTACCCGGTTAAGCGCAGGGGAAGGCTGAGAAGTTGGAGCCCGAGGCTTTGGAATTTCACTCTGAGCTTTGCGGAGCAGCCCAGCAGGGTTCGGCATGGGCTTGCACAACCAGCTCCTGCTGGTGCCGTGACGGTGTACGAGGTCCACTGAACTTTTTTTAGTGTATGCTTGAAATTTTCCACTATCAAAAGATTTTAAAGTACATAAAAAGAGCTGCTGATTTTAATGATTATCAGTCTCTTGGGAATGCTGAGCGGAAGGGTGCCGCGCCAGAGAGAACCTAGGCCCACCGCGCCCTGCTCCGCTTCACCAAGTCGGATGCCCCTCCCCACCACTAGTGCAGTGCGGCGGCGGGGAAGGGGAGGGACACCCGGGAAATGGGGTGCGAAGTGGGGGCCAGCCTAGCTGGAGCCGGAGCAAGCCCCGCCTAGGCCAGGCGCCGCAGGCGCGGACAGAGCAACAAGTCGCTTTGGCTGCTCCGCCCGCACCACGTTTCCCTGGAACTTGAGCCGGCTCCGCCTTCGCCTTCAGCCAAGGCTCCAATTGGCCGAGGCTCCCCAGGGGGCGTGGCGAGGTAGTTGGAACGCGAGTCGTGGGCGGCGGGGCCACTGACCAGAGCCTCCCGCTGGTCGCTGCGAGGAGAGGGGCTCCAGACCCCCGCTAGGAGGTGAGCGCTTCGGACCCGGCCGAGGAGCGGGACGCGGGATCCCGGGAGAGGAGGTGAGCGCCCCGGGCTCGAGGGGCGTGGGTGCGGGGCTGCAGGCGCCGAGCGGGAGCCTGTGCAGGCGAGCTGGCGCGGCGGGGTGTCTCGGACTCTGCGCCCCAGCAGTGGCGCGCTAAGAGTGCGTGGTTCGTAGTTGCGGCCATAGCTGCGCGGGAAGTAGGGTGAAGGCGGGTCGCAGTCTCCAGGCTGAGGCTTGGTCCTCCGGGGTTGCGGAATGTGTGAGCCGGACAGGATTCCGAGGCACCCTGGGGCTGCTCCGGGGATCTGAGCGACAGAGGTTTTTTGGCGAAGTCTCGGACAGTCGTCAGGGCCTCACTCCTGGACTCAGTCAGAGGGGTCTGGGACCAAGACGGGCTTGGGGGTGGGAAGAGCACAGGAGACGGTTGTGCTTTGAGGGCATCCGGGCCCTCATCCGGGCGTTCGCTGGGCTCTCACTTAGGCACTCCCTTTTCCCTGAGCCTTGATGTTTGTAACTCTTAGTGAGAAAGGTGAAATAAAATAGGATCAGGCTGACTCCCATTTCAGAGGAATCGCGAAGCCTGGCTCCCCCGAGGTGTCCTGCCTCTCCTTCCCTTTCTCTGTCCCGGATAGCAGAAGCATGAGGATATGTCCCGACCTGTCTTCCTTGTGGATAGGAGGGCTGAAGTTTCCTGTCACCCTGAATCTTGTTTTCCACGGCCTCGAAATTTGAACCAAGCTGTTATCACCGGAGAAGGTCAGAGGCCAAGGGAAAAGACCAGACTTGTCCAAGGGTCAGACTTGGCTCGTGATTCCCACTGGGGCCTGTATACACAAGGGCCTGACTTTGGCCTGCGTCGCTCATCCTCACTTGGGGCTGCCGGGATGATGTGACACAGCACAGCTGAGCAAAGGGACCTGCACAGTCAGCCAACAACCCAAGTGGACAAAGGCACTTGGCCGGTGGGGCCCGGAGGGGAGGCCAGCCCAGCCACGCTGATGGACCTGCCCTGGCCATTCTGTGTTTTTGTGGTGAGGAGGAAGCTCAGGCATTTGGAAAGAAGTCCCATTCGCTGGACCTGAGGATTTCTGACTCTCTTGAGTTTGCTTGAAAGCAGCCTTCTGCATTCCTGGTCACCGGCCTGGGACAATAGACAGTGACTTTGATGTAGTTGGTGGTACTTTCTCCAAGAGGGCTGTGGTGAGGATCCAAGTGACTGCTTATCTTTATTCCTGGAGGAAGACAAAGCTGAGGGGAACCCCCTCTGAAAAGAGAAGACTGGATTCTGGAACTGCACTCCTACACTTAGAGAAAGACTCAAATCTTCTTCAGAAGGGCCCCTGCCAATCCCATGACCTGACCTCACTGACCCTTGACCTTCCTCTGCTACCTCATTGCACTTTGGCTGTTCCCAGGGGCCCGCTCTTCCCCAGGGCTACCTGTAAGGTTCCTTCCTGGTTTTTCAGGTTGGGGTGAGGTCACATCCTCATGGATCTTCTGTGGACACCACCTCCACCTCCAGCCCCTCCGGTCACATCGGCTTTCTCCTTGTCTGGAAGGCTGACAGAAAACCTCCTGGTCACTTCAGTACAGCCTGTCCCCCTCAGGAGGAAGAAGTAGGTTACTGATGGGCCACGTCTCTTGCTCCCCAATGTGATCCAGCACCTGGCTGGGTGCCTGGCCCATGGAAGTGAAAGTGAGCTCCTGGAAACAAGGTGCTAGGACCAGGAGGCCCCAGTCCTTAAGCCAAGGGAAAGGCCCAAAGGGCTGTGCTGCCCTGAGGCTTCTAAGCCTACCTGGGACTGTGGTTGCCTGTATTACTCTCTGAAAAGGTGATGGCCAAAACGGGTCCCCCTGCTAGTTCCTACTTACCAGGATTGCAAGGGCCCAGTGTCTCTAATCCCTTAGGTTATATGCTGAGCGGGTGATAGGAGACACTGGCTTCCATAAGGACCATAAGGACCCAGCACTGAGCACCCTGTGGCGTGCCAAGTGTATCCCAGGAATAATTGCAATGTGCATTTGACTGCTCATGGTTGCAGGGACTAGAGGCCAACAAACCCTTCTGTAAAGGGCCAGATAGTAAATATTTTAAGCTTTGTAAACCATACAGTCTGTCATATGTGACTGTGTTCCAGTAACAAACCAAAAGCTGGAAGTGGGCCAAGTCTGGTTTGCATTTTCAGCCCCTGATCGTAATCATATATCACTCCTCGTTTGCCGCGCCTAGGATGCTGGCCACATGGCCTGTGCAGTCCCTGAGTGAATGGGGGAGCAGCGACCAAGCCATAGTGCCCACTGTGGACACCTTCACCCCAGGTTCAGGTAGTGGGGTGTGTAAGCCTTGTTATACTTTATGTCTAAATGTCCCCCAAAGCCTCCTACAGTCACTCACAGGGCAGGCTTCTGAAGTTTTTGATTGATTCGTGGTCCAGTGCTGGGATGATGGGTGTGAGTTCTATACCACCCTGAGGTGGGCAGCCTGCATGCAATATAAGGGGGGAAGAGAGACTTGCTTTTTTTGCTCGTCTCATTTTGTTCTTGCTGTTTTTTGCGGTTTTCCACCACCATGAACTACTGCCCTCTGCCATGTGCCTTGCAGCCAGCTGAATACAGACTGAAACCTCTACAAACTGTGAACTACATAAACCTTTCCCTCCTTAATTTGGATGTTGGGCATTTTGTCTCAGCAATGAGAGAAAAGTAACCAAGGCAAGCCTTCAGCCCCAGCCCTCTGAGCCCTCAGGGAAATGCAGGTGTGTTCATTCCTCTGGTCCCTGTCTCACTGACCCTGGCCCTGAGACTGCAGGAGGCTCCCCTTCATTGCCGCCCTGAGGCTGCTGGCCCTAAGAACCTGGGGGTAGCTGGCTCTCCTCCCCTATCCTCAGGGAAGGTTGTGCACTGTGGTGAGAATACTGAAAGAGAAGACACTCTGGTCTGACTCAGCCTTCTGTGTTACCAAGAAAAACCTCAGACCGTGTCAAGCCAGGGTGTGAAGTTACGGTCGCATCTGTGGGAGGCCATTGTCTTCACAGTCCTCTACCAAACCTGGGACCTCTGTAGTGTCTCCCAGGAGAGGGGGGAAAGCCTTCTAGCTGATCAGAATCTGGCATCACCACCAGGTTGCCCTACCCTGCCTGGTCCACACTATCCACCCCTAGCTGGATAGCAGCCACTGGGGCCTAGCGGGGGTCCGTTCGTCACAGACTAGGGATGCAGCAGTATAGAGGTCTTGTGTGGCTCTCTGAGCATCTGCAAGATCCTTCTGTGGGTTTTCCCCCCTGTTGGCAGAGTCCGCTGCAGGTTTGGCACCTCTGCCACAGCTCTCCTCGCCCGGTGCTGCTTCTCACCTCCTGCATGCTGTGCTCCCGGAACATTCTGAGCCAGTGGCCTCGGGAGCTGGCCATCCTCCTCCTTCCCTTCATGGAGGCTTCTGCCTTCTGGGCTCAAAGCCCAGCTGCCTTGGCTGCTAAATGCTCTGGGGTTCGGTCTGCAGAGGCCACAGGATCAGTTTTCACCCAATTCCGCCTGTGAACAGATTTCTCGGCACTCACGTGAGCTGGAGGAGCCCTCAGCCTGCCTTCCTCTGGGACCCTAGCATCTCCCGCAGGTGCCCAGGTCCTCATGCTGTGCACCCTACCTGCAGACCCAGCCAGGGTCCCCCCACCACCACCAGGCCTGCTTGTTGTCTTCCAGGCCAAAGAGTCCAGAACTTGGCCCAGCCACTGTCCCATTATAATTTTATTCTCTTGGAGGATCTTAAAATTAGAAAGAAAAAGCACATGTGTCTACTTCCTGAAATCCATGGGTACTGGATTTCATGGTCTTTCTTGCTACCATTTTCTGATAAAAGAAATGAAACATAAAGATACAGACCTGAGCGGAAGTCTACACACCTCCAATCCTGATCACTTTCTCGTGGCCTTGGTTTGTGGCCATGCTTTAAAAAAAAAAAAAAAAAACCTAACCATTTGTAAGTGTGTAGTTCAGATAATTAAATGTATTCATCTTTTAAAATTGAATCTCTAGGGACTGGGAAGATAGCTCAGTAGATTAAGCGCTTGCCTGGCAAGCGCAAGGGCCTCGGTTCAATCCCCAGTTCTGCCAAAATAAAGTAAAATTGAATCTCTGGGACCAGTAAACAACTCTCACTAGCCCTGCCCCAACCTGGCAGTTACCATTCTTCCTGTCTTTATGCGATACCACTTAGGGTTTCTTGTATAAGTGGAACCATTGCAAAACGTGCCCTGTCTTTTCACTTAACATGACGTCTTCAGGATTCACCCATAATGTTTCATTTCTCAGAATTTCTTTCCTTTTCACAGGCTGGGCTGCTGCCTATCTGCTCTCCTGGCTATGAGGCGGGAGCATCACAAGGTTGAGGCCAGCCAGAAAGAGACTGGCTCAAGTTTAAAAAAAAATCCTTCATTTCCTTTTCCATTTTTTTTAGTAGTGGGGATTGAATTTAAGGCTTTGACACTGAGCTACGTCTTTCTTGAATGAAAGAAAGAAAGAAAGAAAGAAAGAAAGAAAGAAAGAAAGAGAAAGAGAATTAGGGCCAGCCAGATAGCTCAGTGGACTAAAACACCTGCTTAGGCAGGCGCAAGGACTGGGGTTTTTTCCCCAGCATGCTGTGCTGGCCCCACCCCCAGGGCGCACTGAGATGACAATTGAGACTGGGCATGGTGGCACGCACCTATAATCCCAGCACTTGGGAGTCTGAAAATAGGAGGATCACTACAAGTCCAATCTGTGTGGTGAGACCCTGTAGTCCCTGTACTAAATACAAAAAAATAAATAAAAGAATTATAGTTTTGAGACAAGGCCTTGCTAAGTCATTAAGTTCCCCAGACAGGGCCAAAACTTGTGACCTTCCTGTCTCAACTTCCTAGAGTTTGGCCATTATAAGATTCCTTCCTTTTTAATGCTGAATAATACTCACATATCTGTATAGATACAGACACAGATACATGCTTATTCATCTGTCGAGGGCATTCAGATTGCTTCTGCCTCTTGGCTATTGTGAATAGTGCTGCAGCGCATGTGGGCGTGCAGATGTTTCTTTGAATAGCTGCTTTCAGTGCTTTTGGCTGCAAACCAGGGAGTAAATTTCTGAGTCATATGATAACATGGCTTTTAACTTTTTAAGGAAGCTCCATCGTGTTTTCCGGTAGGTCACCGGTGTGACCTTCCTGTGGTCACACCAGTAGGACACTGGTGTCCTAGTTTCACCTCATCGTCACTGACATGTGCTATTTTGGCTTTAATTGCCGTCTTGATGAGGCTCCCTCTTACCTATTTTTATTCATAGATCCAGTTACTGCACACCTTTTACATGTTACGCTAGTTTTGCACAGTGTCCCGTTGCGTATTCTTTTCTGCAGGTGGCATTTTGCCACTCACTCTGTGTTGGCCTCAGTCCTCAACGTGACTGATTGTGTGGCCCTGCTCACAGGCACTTTGGCTGTTTCCGGGCACAGCAATCCATGTGCTTTGTGGAGCTCCCTTCTCTGCCACGCAGGCTCCTCCCTGGTGAAAACCTTGTCCAGAGCATCCCATGGCCCCCAGCACACACCCTGGCAGGACAAGGAGAGGGCAGGGGGAGGTGATGTGGAGCAGTGTTTGGTTTTGCCAGATTGTCTCAGCCACAGATCGAGTGCTGTTGTGCAGACAGCTCCGGGCTTATGAAACACAGCCAGGGTCAGCAAACTCGAAATAGCATTTCTTACACCGGGTGGTGTGGGCAGCACTTCACAGCAGAACGCCACTCAAGGGGCCCCCTCTCCTGTTCAGTGCCCCCCATCCTCATGCAGGGCCCTTCCTGGCTGACCTCAGACTTGTGAGGCCCAGGCACGCTGTGGTGTGTGTGCATGCCTGTGTGTGTGCATGTGTGCATGTGTGTGTATTCAGCTGCACGTGCTGCGCCTGCCTGAATATTTGTGTGCATGTGGTAGGTAGGGTAGAGTCAGCTCTGCACAGCCCAGAACTGGATCCTGCGTGGTGGGTCCTTAGGAGCTTTAGTCACTCGTCAGCCACTCGTAAAGCACCTACTATGTGTGTGGGACAGTCTCAAGAACTGGGGACACAGCAACAAACAGGAAATGATTTCCCTTCTTGGGGTGCAAAAAATCGAGTGGCAGAAACAAAAAATAGACAAGCAGTGAACAAACCAGGTCCTAATCAAGTCTTGTGAAGACAGAAAGATAAGGTAGCATCCCCGAAAAGGGGTTGGCCAACTTTCTATTAGGGGCCAGAGGGTAAATATCTTAGTCTTGTGGCCTTGTGGCCTCTGTCACCACTATTCAGCTCTGTCCTTGTATTATAAGAGTAGACACAGATAATAGTAAATGAATGGGCAGGCATTAGTGGGCCCCAATAAAAATGTCATTTCTAGGTTTTAGGTCACTTTTGACTCCAAGACCATCATTGCCAACCTTGTTTGGGGGAGAGGCCTGATGTGGAGTTGACAGGGAGGCCCTTTCTGAAAGGAGATGGGGACTTCTTTCTGGCTGCTTGCAGGAGGGAGCTGACTTGGGGCATCTGACCCCGGTGCGATGCGCTGGCATCACGGGGGATATGGTGGTAGAATTGTGTGCTAGAAGAGAGCAGCCTATTAAAAGTATTTATAATGTGTCCTGAAAAAAAAAAAAAAAAAAAAGAAGAGAGCAGGCTCGACTCCATTGAGGGGGACGGTAAGACTTTTTCACGGGTTGAATGCTGGTGGCTCTGGAAATAGGAGATATAAGGATGATCCCTAGACTTGGGGTTTAAACTTCTAGGTAAAGGATGGCTCTAGTGACTGAAAAGAATTGAGAGGAGGGGACGCTGGGCCGGTACCGTGTTAACCCTGAGGAGCTTATTGGTGAGCAGGTGGTCAGGTGGACATCCACACATAGAGCTCGTGGAAGCTCCAGGTCTGGGGATGAGCGTCATCCAGGTGGTCTTCAGAGCTGAGAGTCTGCCCGGCTCCAGGGCAGTGTGTGTGAGTGGAATAGAAGAGATCCCAGGAGGCCGCCCGCTCTTACTGCTTAGTGCACCAGCCCAGGAGCCCAAGTGGGCCTTATACTCTGTGAAGGAAGGTGATGCAGTGCGAGTTCTTGGCCAACTGATTTACTAGCGCAGCCTCCATTTCCCTCTGGTGAAGTAGGGACCCTGCCTCCGTGAGGCTGTATAAGGACCAGTGGGCTACTGTCGTGCGTGGCATGGACGAGGCACTCAGCACTTGCTACCTGTGGTGCTGGTGGCTGCTGGACACTGGGTGGATGAGGAGTTGCAAGGTCTGTGATTGGTTGGGGCCACAGGTAGGGCATAGACATCCTTCTAGCTGAGGCGCAGGCCAAGAATGCCCTGGGGCCTGCTGCCAGGAGTTGGAGGTTCACGAACCCTCTGGCTTCCTTGCCCCATCCTTGGGTGGATGCCGTGGAGACGCATTCTGTCCTGTGTTGGCAGGCTCCTCTGTGATTGGGCCCTGCTGCTCACAGTGGTCCCCACCCGGAGCTCAATGATTATGCTGCCTCCCCAGCCCCGTCTGCTTCCACATGCCTCCTCTCTCAACCCCCAGGAATTTCTTGTGGTTCTTCACTTGGCTTCAAGGGCAATGCATACCTGTGGTTAGATAAGTGGGTGGGCTTGCTGGGACACAGTGGGTCATATTTGGTGGGTTAATGAGATGGGGGAGGCTGTGGACCCCCACTCTGCCCTTGACCAAGGCTGGGCAAGCTCACGCCTCTTGTCTGCCTCCTCCTACAGCCAGGATCCCAGAGAAGATGGTGGACCACTTGGTGAACACGGAGATTAACAGCCAGCGGATCGCCGCTGTGGAGAATTGCTTTGGGGCCTCGGGGCAGCCGCTGGCCTTGCCAGGCCGGGTGCTCCTGGGAGAAGGTGTGCTAACCAAAGAGTGCCGCAAAAAGGCCAAACCACGCATCTTCTTCCTCTTCAATGACATCCTGGTGTACGGCAGCATTGTGCTCAGCAAGCGCAAGTACCGCAGCCAGCATATTATTCCTCTGGAGGAGGTGACATTGGAGTCACTGCCTGATACCCTGGAGGCCAAGAACCGCTGGATGATCAAGACTGCCAAGAAGTCCTTCGTGGTGTCGGCTGCCTCCACCACAGAGCGCCAGGAGTGGCTCAGCCACATTGAGGAGTGTGTGAGGCGGCAGCTGCTGGCCACTGGCCACGAGCCCACCACGGAGCACGCGGCCCCCTGGATCCCCAACAAGGCCACGGACATCTGCATGCGCTGCACGCAGACACGCTTCTCAGCCCTCACACGCCGCCACCACTGCCGAAAGTGTGGCTTTGTGGTGTGCGCAGAGTGCTCCCGAGAGCGCTTCCTGCTGCCACGCCTCTCTCCCAAGCCTCTGCGTGTCTGCAGCCTCTGTTACCGGGAGCTGGCCACACAGAAGTTGAAGGAGGAGGCAGAAGAGCCGGGAAGGGTTTCCCCAGAGCAGCTGGCCCACCTGGGGGCAGCTTTCTATGGAGCATCCAGCGGAGACGATGACTCCGATGAGGACAAGGAGGGCAGCCGGGATGGCGACTGGCCCAGCCACGTGCAGTTCTATGCCTCCAGTGTCTCCTGGTCAGCCTTCCACAGCTGACCCTGGTCCACAGAGCTGCCGCACCCACCTACGCTGGTGCCACTGCCGGGGCCTGAGCAGCCCTGTGTCTCCAGGACACTGCCCCATGGTGGTGCACACAGAGGTGGGGTCACTCTTTCCTCTGGATTCTCAGTGCCTTTTCTGGAGCTGGCCATCCACGTAGGCCGACTTCCAGCTCCCCTGCAGGGAATAACCTTTCCACTCAGCAAGTCCCAGCACACCTCGGCCTCTGAGGAACGAAGGTGGTTTGCCAGCCCTGCAGGCTAAAGCTGCAGCTCCAGACAGCTTCAGGTGTCAGAGCTCTGGGCTACCAGATATGGGTGAGCATGGCAAGGGAAGACAGGCAGGAGAGTGAGAGTCCCTTCTGAGCTGAAGCCTGAGCCCCAGAAGCACCAGTCCTGCACCCAGACAAGCAGACCCCCCAGAAAAGCCTCTAAGAAAGGCCTCCAAGAACCCAAGGCCCAGTGGTGCCCACCACCTGGGGCCTGCCAGATCAGGCATAGAGCTCACCTAAGCCAAGTAAAAGCCTGCCATGCTGTGTGTGCCCACTGGGCCCAGAGGTTGCAGCCTGCCCAGGCCGCTGCCCTGTCTCCACTCCCTCCAGGTACCTGATGGCTTTTGTCCTGTCCTCATCTCTCCCTACAGGCAGTGTGAGCCTTGTTTTCTGTTGGGGCTCTTAACTGTAAGGATAGAAACCCTGCTAGACTGACTTATTAATAAAAAGGAATGTTTACTGACTCATGTGGTTGCAAAGTTCATGCTTCCTTGCTTTAGACGTGGGCAGATTGAGGGCTGAAGCTGTGCTGAGGGGTAAACGTCAGTTGTCACGACCACATTGGGCATTTCCGGGAATGCCAGCAGTGGCAGCCCAGTGGAGGCAGGTGTTCGCGCCACCCTTGGCCACCTCCCCAAGGGCACAGCCTGCTCCAGTGTGCTGTGACAATGGCCCAGCACCTGCAGCTCAGTTCACCTTGGTGTGGGTTGTCCAAACAGGGCATACAATAGAAACAAGGAGCTTTTGTCTGGATCTTCCAGGTTGAAAGGTATCTTCTGTGCAGTCTCCTGCCTGGCCCTTGGGACGGTGCCCAGGAGTGAGGAGACTCAGCCCCCCGCCCCCCCGGGTGCAGCTACCAACCTTATTCTGAGAGTCATCTGAGAGCTGGCCCTCGTGCTGGCTGCAGAGCTGCAGAGCCCTTGAGATAGCCTCCTGCCGATGCTTCTGAGCTAGTGCCAGACACCCCTTTGGCTTGGCCAGAGTCAGGGCCCAGAGTGGCATGACTGTTAGCCGGAGTGGTCACATGGGGCTGGGAAAGCCCCCTTCACTCCCAGTGCAGTGAAATCCCTCTACTGCAACTCTGTTCCGACAATGAAGCTGCTTCTCTCTGGCCAGTTCTCAGATACCCCCAGGCGAAGAGAACCTCAGAGGTCAAGCCAGCACCCTTCTGAATCACAGGATCAGGGCCTGGCTCCCACGGACCACCCTGGGTGGCAAGGCCTGCAACGCACAGCTGACCATGACATGCAGGGACATACAAAGCATGAAGCGCCCAGTGCTTGCCAGTGACCCCACATAGGCAGAGTGACCGTGCAGGGGGGTCAGATTCTTCCCGGCCTTGTTTGTCTACAGGCCTTTCCATCCTTGGCCTCCCTCAGCTACACAGACCGGTTCAGGCTGCCAGACGGGTCATGAGGTGAGGGACAGCCTGCAGAAGAAAGATCCAGTGCCTTCTCAGAAATCCAGGCCAGGCAGCGTCATCCCTGTGCCCAGAGCTGCTGACAGGGCAAAGAGCACTGGCTCTGCATTGGTCCCCCATGCAGTCACTTGCCTAGAAACTCCAGGTTTAAAGGGCAGTGTTCATTTGGACATAAGCAGGGCTGAGCCTAGGCCCCACACCTGCTGCTTCTCTGAGCCTTGCGGAGTTGGAACCTGTACAGACCCAGGATACAGAGTGGCCACCAGCCTTTGGAGAGCCCTTGTGATATAAATCCACTTACTGATTACACTCTGTCGGGCACTGGGGACACAGGTATGAGTCAGGCGGGCAATGTCCAACTCTCAAGGCTCTTCAGCAAGGGAAATAGAGCATACAGTAGCACCAGTGCGTGCCTGGGGCTGGGGTAACAGGCCAAGGTGCGACATCTAATAGGGAGGTGAGTGAGCCAAGCTGGCTGGGGAGGTGATGTCCAGGCAGAGGGAACAGCACGGCCAGAGGGGGAAGGAGCCCAGGAGTCTCGGAGCAGCTTGACTGGAGCCAAGGCCAGAGGGCACTAGGAGCCACTGGAGGATCTGGGGGCAGCAAGCAGCTCTTTGCTTTGAAGAGCTGGCCCTGATTATGTCATGTGGGATAGCTGGGAGGGGGAGGGGGTTGTCAGCCACGAAGGTCACCAGGTCCCCCAAGGATTCCCGAGGGGAGGAAGGGAGAGCTCTACCAATCCCACATCTGCTGCCTTTCTGCCTGTGGAATTGGACAGAAGCCTTGGGTGTCCTCCCTCCTGTCCTCACCTCACCCTGAAGGGCTGGTACCTTGCCACTCTGCTGAAGGTTAAGCAGCACCCACCTCATCTCAGCCTCTGGGGTGACAGCAAAGTGGCCCTGGGCTAGTGCTTGGGTCCAGTGACAATCAGCGCCCCAGACTGCTGAAGCAATGGACCGTGCTAGAGGGACTCAGGTTCTTACGAAATAGAAGGTAGAGGCCTAGGAAGGGAAGGCTCAGCAGGAGTTCCCTCCAACTCCCAGCAGGTATTTTTCTCCCCAGAGACAACATCATCAGCCAGGCTTGGGCCAAGGCCAGGCTAGACTGTGCCCTATGGGGCCAAGCCTCAGGAAGTTAGCACAAGTCGCCTGCCATACCTAGGCTGCACAGGCCCTGAAGATACACCCTGTGCCTTGTAGGCACCACTGTCAAGCACATCCTTAGATGAGGGAGGCCCTGGGTTTGTCCTAAATCAAGGCCACACAGGTGACCTGTGCTCTTGGCCACTGCCCAGGGAGGGGAGGAGCTCTCAGAGTGGACTTCAGAGTCTGCGTCTTGCAAAAGTTTCCTTTCTCAAGGGCAAGCTGGGGTCTGGCAGCTGTGCAGGGCCCACTGAGCAGGGGCCAGGCCCTCGTGTGCCTGCCTGGGGCTTTGCTTGTGAGGCCTGGCAAGGAGGTGGGGACCAGCTGTCCTGCCAGCTAAATGCTCTCATCCACCACCCTCACAGCTGTCTTCTCAGCTGTGCGGGGATCCCTGCCCCTGCTCAAAGCTGATCCTTCTCACATTGGGTCCCCCAGGGGTATCCTACTTTGCTCCTCCCCTTGGCAGACACAGAGGGACACAGGGAGGATCTGAGAGTCAGGCCCATGCTTTCAGGGGCCTTGGAGGCCCACACCTACCTCAGCCTTACCTGAGATACCCTCGGTGGGAGCAGTTCCAGGTCAGAAGGTAAGTGACAGCTGTGATTTCAGGGCCCCAGGGGCCAGTGACAGGCGGGTCTCCTTTAGCATTCAGCAGGGTGCAGTACTCCTGCAAGACTCAATACTAGGGGTGGGGGCTTCCAAGAGGGTTGATCACGTGACCCCAGCCTGTCAATTTTGGCTGTGGTAGTTTCAGACACCAGACCTTCTCAGAGCAGAGCCCACCGGCACAGGAGCTGGCAGCGCTGAGATGTGGTTTGCTGGAGGCAGGGAAGCTGGCAGGGAATTCCTAGAATTCCAGGAATGACTGCGGCAGGATGCTGGTGCTGCTGGTGGCAATGACTGCCACTTACTCTAAGCCCTGTCTGTATGCTGGCTCCAGAGAGGCGGGAGGCGCCGGTCACACAAGGCCGTCCTATGGCTAAAGGAAAGATGGGCTAAGGCCCTAAGAGAGAAAGAGGAAAGAACTCCTAGGGCAGCTCTGGTTCCATCTCAGAGACAACATCATCAGCCAGGTTTGGGCCAAGGCCAGGCTAGACTGTGCCCTATGGGGCCAAGCCTCAGGGAGTTAGCACAAGTCGCCTGCCATACCTAGGCTGCACAGGCCCTGAAGATACACCCTGTGCCTTGTAGGCACCACTGTCAAGCACATCCTTAGATGAGGGAAGCCCTGGGATTGTCCTAAATCAAGGCCACACAGGTGACCTTGTAGCACTGTATCAGCGGATCACAGTCTCCATCAAGACTGGGATGCCTTTTACTTTTATTTCTATGCAAGACTGCAAAGTACGAAACTACTAGAAGGAAACATAGGCGAAGCACGTGAAGATGTCGGCATAGGCCGTGATTTTTTTTTTATGAGCCCCAAAGAACAGGAAATAAGAGCCAGAATAGACAGATGCCAATGCATCAAATAAAAAGCTGACTGCAAAGGAAGCCATCAGCAGAATGAAGAATTGCCCTACAGAATAGGAGAAAATGCTTGCCAATTCTTCCATCTGACCAAGGATTCATATCCAGAATATATAAGGAACTGGAAAATTTAACAGAATTAAAAAACCAAATGATCCAATTTTAAAAGGGGAGGCAATGATCTGAAGAGACACTTCTCAAAAGAATAAATACAAAGGGCCAAAAAATATGCATGAAAGAATTGCTCGATAACATTAGTTATCAGGAAAAGGGAAACCAAAATTACCATGAGATAGCATCTCACGTCAGTCAGAATGGCCACTAGCAAAAATCAATGATAAATATGAGGGGAAATGTGGAGAGAGGGGAGCTCTCATCCGCCGTCAGTGGGAATATACGTTCATACGGTCATTATGGAGAGCAGTACAGAGGTTCCTCGGCCCCAAATGGATCGGCCGTGATCCAGCGACCCCACTTCTGGGTACGCATTCAAAGGGAGTGAGATCACCACACCACAGACCCCGCACCCACGTTTACTGCAGCGCCCGGCCCGTCAGCTAAGATGTGAAGTCACCCTGGAGGCCCGTGGATGGCTGAGCAGGATACTGAGTCCTTCCGTTAAGGTTCTGTCCTATCTGCTCTGGGGATCTAAACACACATTGAACAAATCAAGGAGGCAGTGGGGCTGGGGGCACTGAGGCAGAGAGAGTGATAATGGACGAATATCTGAGCCACACACTGGGGCCACACAGGGTAGGTGGCACTCCTAAATGACAGAACCGTGTCCTGGACCCCCCTACAGAGGCAGGGCCAGCAGGAGGCTCCCCCAGATACCAACTGGGAGTTTTGCTAGCAGGCAGAGGCCAGTGGCAGCACACACCACAGCCCACCCAGCAGAGCTTTCTGGAAAGTAGTGTGTACTCTTCCGTGGGGACAGCACCCAGGCTGGTCTCAGGGGGCTGCTGGCAGCGTGGTGCCCCTCCCCCAGGCTTTTCTTTGAACACAGTGGTATAGAGGCTACTGGAGGAAGTCAGGTCGACTCCTGGGCTCAGACGAGGGTGCAGTGACTAAGACTCTGGCCCAGTTCTCAGCCAGATCTGAGATATTGGGGCCACACATGCAGACGCAGGCAGCCACTTCACTCAGCTTCCTGGGACCTGTACCTGCAGGAAGTGGCCCTCTGGGGTCTGTGGGTAGGGGAAGGGCCACCTCGACCTGTGAGACTTTTCTGACTCCAAGCCTGCCTTCCAGCCCTGGCCTCCTCCCTCACCAGCACTTTCCCCCAACCATGAAAGTGCTCTGCCCTGGCCAGCTGACCCAGACCTGTCCCCAGGAGCAGGACCAGAGGGCAAATGTCAGGTAGGACTGGGGAAGCGGGTTCTGCTGGCCAACTC